AGACCCTCAAGAGCAATCTATGCCTCCACCTCTATCCCATGGGATAACCTTATTTACAAAGTTTAAAAGTGGACAGTTGGGAACTGGAGCTGTGGTAAAGGTAAGCGGTTTTTCCAGAGGTTTAATCTTGTCCCGAATAGATGATCCCTCATTTGCAACTTTTGATCCCTTGGTTGGACTTGAATTAAGAATTCTGAGGGCTGTCTGTGTCCCTGCTCTGGTTGGTCTCCAAGCTATCCTTTGCCAGGCTTTCTGCTGTGAAGAGGTAACCGATCTCCAAAATAATGGCAGATACTTTGAGAAACGTTTCTTATTTCTGGGCTCAGGAGAGTGTTTTCAAATCAGGCCCACCTGTTCCCTGTAAGGGCAGAGGAGATTAGCTGTTCAAAGATGCAGAAACCTGCTCTTTCGTTTCCATCCGCTTTCGGGGACAGACGCTGTGTAGACGCTGAGAAGCTGAACTGCCCTGGGCCCTTTGACCAGCACGTGGGGCAAAGCCCAGAAGGTGCACAGTCCACTGTGCAGCCAGGACAACAGCCCCCTTTCTAGGGTGTGCAGTGGCATGCTGGCACATCCCTGGTGTTCACCGTGAGCCAGGAGTTATAAAAAGAGCATACAAAGTAGGAAAGGATGTGAGGATGCTGTGTCTTAAAGTGTCTCCAGGTAATGTGCGCAGAGCAGAGTACGGTATAAAGGGGCTTTGCGGCAAAATCACTCTGCGAATCGTAAGGTGAAAATAAGTCATGCGTGGTCTAGGACAGGGCTGCTCTGGAGAACTTCCTGTGGTGGCAGAAATTTCTATACCCCATTCTGTGTGGTAGCCACTAGACGAACGTGGTTACTCAACCTATGTGGGTAGAGACGTGAGGAGTGGAATTTTAAATTTAAATGGCTACATGTGGTTAATCACTAGTGTATTAAAGAGCACGGATATGAGAGAAAACACATTTGTATATATATACTCTCTATATATTCATTTTATATAAAGGAGAATTTTTGTAAAATTTGCGTGTAAAACTGCTTTGGACTATGTTTACTCCAAAAACTTCAAACAGCGTCTACAGATCTAGGTCTACCCACTGCCCACGTTGTGTTCCAAGCCTTGGGATTTCTTCTCAGAGAATGCCATGTGATTGGTATTCAGTGTGGTCCCCTGACAGATCTGCCTAGATGCACACTCTCCTCTGAGTCTACATCGGGGCTGTATGAACTTGTCATACATGCTGTGGCCCCAACACACCCATCTCTGACAACTGCTAAACCCACTTTTACAATAAAGCTTTATAAAGCACCGCTTCAGTTCCTGTGGTGCCTGTCTTCACTCTGTCGCCCTCTGGCTGGTCCTCACTACTGCATCTCACCCGTATCATCTGGAAGTCTGCTCACAACAGGTTTTATCCATGTCAAACTAGCCGGTTGGATACTGAAGACCACCAGTTAGATGGTCTTTCATTCTGTGTGCTACATGTACCAAGGGTAGGTACTGGGCAAGGCCTGGAGACTAGGTGCTGTAAAAAAAAGTTAAGAATGGGTAATCACAAAGACTACATTTCTGAAACTACAAACCAAGGCACATTAGTAAAAGATTTTCAGCCACAGCCAGTGAGTGGCAAGAGGCAGTCTGGGAGATACTGTTTGGATGCCAAAACCTTTGCAGTGTATCAGCAACAGACTTCGTGATGGCCAGGTCTTCTGACAGAAGCGGTCTATGAGCTGGAGTGTCCTGCCTCTAAAGTAGTAGCTGCCTTTTCACAATTTGCATAAGCATCGAAATAAGTTAGCATTTGCACTTTTTTTTTTTTTTTTTAACTTGCTTTGCTTGGTTGTTCCCACCGGTCTATCCTGAGTTAAATATGAGGTAACTCAATATTTTAGCACAAAATCATGTTATTAACTGAAGTTCAATCTTTTTTAATGGTTCATGGAGTTGCACACCAAGCAGCATGGCTTCCCTCAGTAACACAGTCCCTGTCTCAACAACCACCAAAGACAGGAAACGAGGCAAGATGACCTGAGATTACTTGAGTGGTACTGCCATGTGGCGTTCCACTCCGGAGAGGGCTCTCCTGGTGGACTAGGGCTTCATGGAGGGCTCCGACGTGGAGGAGACTGGAGCAGAGCCTTGGGAGGAAGAGCAGGGACATCTGGCCAGCACTGGCAGGTAGGAAACTATATAGTCATGGAAGGAGAACCATGGTGGTGTTTTAGAAGGAAAGTGAGTGGATCTGGAGGCAGAGCCAGATGGTGCATGTAGAAAGTGAATGGCTGGAAAGAAAGGTTGGAATCATATTATAAAGGAAGAAGGGAAAAAGACTATTTTGAGTTCTCATCTATTGTCTGATTTAATCTTCACAGTAGCTCCATAATGGAGGCTGTGGATTAGCCAGGGAATGCTTAGCTAGAAAAACAATGCACTCTGGGTTAGCTTAAACCAAAGAAGAAAATGTGTCACAAGACCCCAAGGGTTAAAGTGTAGTCAATTTAAATTGGTATCTACCCACTGTCCAGTCACCTGTGATTGAGGGTGGGGGAGGGGGACCGAATTCTACACAAATACGGCTACTAAGGATGCCATGTGAGTGGATACTGTATTGAATAGAAAACAGAATATATATCATAATCCTTAGAGGAACTGTGAAAATGTAATGCAAAAAACTAACTCAGAATTATGTAAAAAAATTAAAATTGGAAGGGTAAAGACTAGATATATAGATAAAACATGCTTGGTCATAAGAATTGTTGAGACCAAGTGATGTGTACATGGGAGTCATTATTCTGCATATCTTTGTAAATGTTTAAAATTCTCCTTAATAAAAAGTTAAAAAAATACATAGTTCACACAGGGTCCCTTGGTCCTTCTGTTCCAATCATTGTACATGCTTTACTAGATTAAAAACAGACTTGAAGTTCTTTTCCATGCAAGGAAGACACAACCACCTAGACTCATTAAGTAGAAAGTTTCAGACTCGGTAAGCATTATTGTCAGAATTCCAGCTGACTACAAGTCCTGATGTCTGTATTTCCTTGCAATTTTGATTTAGTGGGTCTGGAAAGGGATTTGAGTGTCTTCTCTCCTAGTGACTCCTTCCAACTCCAGTGACACTGATGCATGTTCAAGTTTGGGGAGCACAGCTTCAAGGGATTCTATGGATTATTATATGCAAGTCATAATATCCTTGGTTTGGGTCCTTCCCTGCTGTAGGACTCAAGCAGCGTGATGATGTGGTACTTTAAGCACAATCTTAACTACATCAATGCATTATATGGCATTCTGCCATTCATTCTCATTTTGTGATTCCAGCATAGTGTCTTTTTCTTGGGCAACTGATTTATAGAGCCTACTGCCATTTTAATTGCTTTTGTTTCAAAACATAAATCTCATGGATGAGTTTTTATCTCCCATGTAGCACACTCAGCTTACATGTTGTCTGAAGTCTTTCCCCAGGAATGCTCCTGCCTTCCTTTACCAGGGCAGCAGCACAGAGATCCCTGCACTCAATGGGCCACACCCTTGGTTTAATGCTCTCCTGTTGTCTGAAGTTCTTAATGTTGTTTCTGAACTTGTGTTTTGTAAGTGAAGTCTCATGCAGTATGTGCCCACTGTTCCTCACCAACCCACTCAGAGCCTTCGTGATGTCTGTATGCACAAAATTCCAGCAGACCCGTGATGCAGGAGTTGAGAGGAGATGCAAAGTAAATATAAGCAAGTTATTCCTACAACTAATTGGGGCCCTGAGAGCCCTAAGAGGCCACACTATTTAAACCAGACTTTGATTTGAACGCAAAAAGAAGGTAATAGCATTCTAAGCAGCATGAATGACCATGGAACCCTGTCATATCCTTTTTTACTCATGTTACTTTTTCTTAAAGTTATTGTACTCATGTCATTAGCCATTTACTCACTTCATTAGCCATCCACTTATGCTGAATATGATAAGAAAAAACGAAAACAAAAGGCAGCCCATAGTTCTTTCAGTCCTTCCTCATTAGTAAGCTGAAAGAGTAAGAATGTGTACATACGAAGAAGTGAGTAACTGAGATAGGTTTTTTTTGGGTTTTTTGTTTTGGCAGTGTTTCCAGTGTTCTAGTAAGGACAAAATACATATACGTACAATATGTGCACATAAACTATGAAATGCAAATTATCTAATTTTGGTGATTCTACACGAGTTCACTGCCCTTCTAGTTGTAGTTTAAAACTGGAACTGCATAATACAAAGATGAATAAAGTTAATGCTAGTAATTTAGAATTTAAATTTTTCGTTACCTAGAACAGTATTAAGTAGAAAATAAAAATCCACCATAACAAGATGTGAGAGACCATGGAAGAAAGGGAGAACATTTCAATGCCTTTAATGGTACTATTTTCCTAATTTCTGGACATCTTCTGTGCTGGGTCCTACACATCAGCTAGCTGCCTGAGTCTTCATGCTCTCCTTTCCTCACCAGAACCCCCATCCTCTGCTATATCCTAAGAGGGCTCCTGATGATGTGAAGGGCTCTGCTGCCCTCCTGGGTCTTCTGCTGCCTCACCTGTGGAAAGCAGAACGGGGCCAGGCCTGACTTCAAAGTACCTCAGGGGACTCAACAAGCACTAGAGGAAGGGTGCTTGCCACAGGAGAGGATGACAGGACTTCTCAATCCCCTTCTGACCCTGACTTGTTCTGGAGTAGCAGCCACAGGCTGGAATCACTTATCTGGTGTTATTGGTTCTCCCTTTGGTTTGATCAGTTTTGGAAGAAAAATATTTCTAAAAGACTAAGACTTCAGCTCTCATCCTTGACAGCTTGGTCCCTCTTTGTCCCTTTCTGCCACTCCGTGAATTGCTGGAAGCAGTAAGAAGGCAGAGCAGGTGGAAAGCTCTTGTCAACAGTGGTTTTACCAAAATTCTTTATGAAGAGTCCTGTAGACAATACTTGGGAGTTTTTGTTTTTAAATGGTTCAAGTACAGCAGATCACTTCCTCTTAAAAAAAAATTAAGATAATGTTGACAAACTTTATAGCAATCTGAAAAGAGAGCAGAGAATTACTTATGAAAAATAAAAAGAACATGTACAATTGTATCTTCAAGAATTTTCATGGACCATTATGACCCATCAAATTAAGGTATCCACATTTTCTAACAAAAATGAACCAAGAAAGGGCAGCATGAAAATATTCTAACGCAGTGCTGCCCAACAGAACTTTCTGTGATGATGGAAATGTTCCATTATCTCTGTGTTGTCTAATACAGAATCTACTAGTCACATGAATACTCACAACATGGCTAATGCAATTGAGGAACAGAATTTTTCATATAAACAGCCACATGTGGCTAGTGGTTACTAACTGAAGAATACAGTTCTAATGTCTCATGGGTCAAAACCAGCGATTTCCTCAGGGGCCTTCTCTAATCATGGCTGAGGGATGCAGAGGAGTCGGGGTGGGGAGAGGGGAAAGCCCTGAACAGATTATTTAGCTACTTAGTAAGTTCTGAAGCTCTCCACAGCTTTTGGAGGCTGGGGGTGAGGAAAGGACTCTGGGGGAGACCTGAGAATGCCCTTTAACTCCTGGCTAATGCCAACAGGAGTAAAAGGACTAGGATTTGGCTCACTTAGACGGCGAAGAGGCCTGTGGTGCTACACACAGAATCGGAGGCTTGGGCCATCTGTGCATGGAAATCATCACTGTGGGGCTGGCAGGGATGTGGAGGTGCTCATTTGCGGACAGGGTTTCCAGGACTAAAAGAGGATTTAGAGGTGGAAGGAGGACCTGAGGGCCCTTTCTGGCCACCTGCAGGCTGGACAGGCCCTTTCTTTTTGGGGCTTAAGGTCTTGTTCTTGCTCTTGAACACTTTGCTGGGATCCAGCTTGTTCACGAAGGAGTTGGTCTCTTCTGCGAGTAGGTTTGTGTTGTAGGTGATGGGTTTATACATGTTGAACCATTGCTGTAAGGCAGAATTGGGAAAGCGGTCACAATTCAAAGGAGAAATGCCACTGTTTATGCTTTTTAGTGGGGACCCAGGGGACAGAGGGCTGGGGAGATGGGGCAAAGAGAGCAAAAGGCTTTCTGAAAAACTGCCTTGAAAATCTGTTAGTACTTCCTTTAAGTGAAAGTGATGGCACACACATTGCTTCATGAGGTCTCATAACCTTTACAATAAATGCAGCGCGAGGACTAAGAATGTAAGTAAACATCCTTCCTTCTGATCTAGTGAGCCCTGAGTGTGGGATGTTAGGTCCCAGATCATCAGTGTTCTTCTAATTGTTCTGTCCTCAAACCAGCCACTGCCCATCAGGTAGACTGGGCAGTGCCTTCCTCACACGGAAGGTGCATAACAGAGGCCAGTAGCAGGCCTTGGCTGAAGGCAGGTGCCTGTTGGTGCTATCTTCCCCCTCTGGGCAAAGAGCATCACATTTATTGATGTCACAGGGTTGACTGGATGATGCTGTTATGCGACATTTGAGCAAAGTGGGGCCCACCAGATGAATACATACATGGAGCTGAATCCCTCATTTATTGTCACCCAGCCTAAGTTCTTCCGGGCATACCAGGCGGCATACGAGCATTACCTGGTGATCGTATGTTTGAAGTGTTGCCCAGATGTGTAATATAAACGAGGCACATCCATACAGTGGAATATTCTATATCACTAAAAAGGACAGCTCTGTATGTACTGTAGGAAGTGAGCTCCAAGATGGAATGTTAAGTGAAAAGAAGGTTGCAGAACGATGTGAAAGGTGTATTATTGCAGTTGTGATTTAGAAAAAAGGAACCAAAAATCGTATGCATGCATGCATACTTTCTAGGCAGTAAAGTGTCCTGTGAAAGGCACAAGAAAAGGGGAACAGTGGCTGCCTCTGGGGAAGGCTGGGAGGCTGGAGAATCTGGGAGTAAGAGACTGACTTTTCACTTTTCCTGTATCTACATACTATGCAAAACAACTTGACCTAAGCCCTCAATAAAATTTAATTAGAAAGTAAACTCCCAGGTGATCCTGAGGATCAGTCAAGTTTGGGAACCACTTAGTTCAGTATAAAGTGAGGCTGTCTACCTACACTGGAATCATCTGCCTTGCATTATGAAGATGCAGGTTCCTGGGCTCCATCCCGGGTCTTCTGAAATCAGACAGGGAAACTGAGAATCTACAACGTAAGCATCTCAGTAGATTCGGATAGTCCAGTTTGAGATGATAGGTGTCCCTCCCTTACCTTGGCCTGTGGGCTAATGCCGTAGCTGGTGAAGGCGTACTGCCACTGTGGCAGGCCCAGGTGTGTGATGAGCAGGCGATAGTAAGCGGTAAAGGTATCTGTGAGAAAATGCCAGTATAACGCTCTGTCCAGGAACCAAATCTCAGCGTCTTGCGCCAATGCTGAAATAGCAGACAAAAGAAACGAATGCATGGTGTAACACTTTTCTTTTTTTTTTTTTTTTTTTTAAATCTTTTATTTTTGAGAGAGAGACAGAGCGTGAGCAGGGGAGGGGCAGAGAGAGAGGGAGACACAGAATCCGAAGCAGGCTCTAGGTTCCGAGCTGTCAACACAGAGCCCCATGTGGGGCTCGAAGTCACGGACTGCAAGATCATGACCTGAGCTGTAGTCGGACGCCCAACCGACTGAGCCACCCAGGCACCCCACACTTTTCTCCTTTTATCTGTAACGTCAAAAAAAAAAAAAAAAAATTCCAATACTTCAAGGATGTAAAATTAAAGTTCCCTCCCCCCAACCTCCCAGGCCTATGCTCCAGTGGCCACTGTTAGGCATTTCATCGGTATTGTTTTTTACAGATTCCTGATCAGTCAGCCGACTGCCCTGTGTGCTTGGCACTGGCCTTCTGTGCACTCAGGCTCTCCATTCAGCCACCCCTGCTCCAGTGGGACATACTGTGATCTCAGCTTTCCTGATGGAAGCAGACTCTGAATGGCTCTGGTCTTCTGAAGAGGTCTCCATCAGGAATCTGAGGGGCTGTGAGCAGCCACTACGGAGGAGCCCAACCAGCACCCGTCCTGGATCCCACCTGTGCTGCTGCGAGAGGTCCCGGCTGAACTGAAGCAGGCACTATCACACCAGCTCCCACCTCATTTGCTTCTGACACTCCACTCTTCCTACTGCAGACCTCTAATCTAGTGCATCTCCTGTCTAATGGACTTAATGTCTCCCTAAGTGGCCCCAACCCTCCAGTCTCTTCCTTTTCCAAGACTGCTTGTGGTCACATACACTTGCATCTCAATTCTGCCATTCTTCTATTGAACAACCTTGACTTCACACTGTCAGGTCCAAACTCCTGCCAAGCTCTGCATGAAGGGGAACAACTGGCCTCTGGCTTCATCTCCTCCCCATCCACAAGATGAACCGGGCAGCCCAATGAACTGAAGTTATCTGTCACTCCTTCCAAATCAGTTGCACTTTCCCATGGTGTAACTTTACTGTGTGTCTTTGCCTGGATGCTTCCTTAACTCCTCTTGTACCACACCTTCCCATAACCCAATATGTAGATGGAAGGCTACTTTGCAAAGATGGCCCCTCTTTTCTCCAGGGGCAAAATCCTGACGTCTGTATCTTCTCACCCCTACCAGGCAGAGAGCTACTAAAAGAGGGCTCAGCCTTGTCTACAGTCCCTAAGCCAGGGCCTGAACTGCTGTTGGGGGGCGGGGGGCAGATAATAGCTGCTTCAACAGAGGCTGGAGGCTTTTACTCTGGCTTTCTCATCTGAGGTCTTTAGCTTGAGGTTTACTAATTCAGGTTTTTAGTGCTGTCAACTTGCCTATGTATAGAAGTACACTAGAAGGATAATGCTTTTCCTGGATGCTTTCCTAATGTGTCAGCCTGCTAGAGGAGCCTATAAACAGAATGACCATTTCTTTTACTTTTTACTTGCTTAGTATCCTACTCCCACTATTTTGTAGTAACTCACAAATGATGACAGCTTAAAAAGACTCTAGTGATTGGCCTAGAAGGAGATGCTCAGGGAGGACCAAAGGGGATTTCTCAGTCTTGGCATCTCCAAGAGACCCAGTGGCATCTCATGAGTCCAGAGAGGAGTGTGCCTTTTGTGTGAGGACCGGAGAGCAGGGTCATCCATGCCACACCCAACGGCAGCCCCATGCTTGTCGCTGATTCTTACCTGGCTTCCCTCTTTTGTAGACAAGGCAAACTTTCCCATTCCCATCGCAAGGATCCAGCTCAAATATCACACTTCGAGAATCAAAGTGAGGCTTCTCTGGCTGGTTCTCACTGGCTGCAAATCCAGAAGTTAATGGTCATGTTCAAACATACTCAACTCAAATGCATACTTACTTGTCCAGTTTTGCTAGGGTGAGGAAAAAAAAAAAGAGCAGTATACATCTCCTTAGTCTTTTAAAAAAAATATTAGAGAAAAAGAGAAAGTGGGTGTGCATATGTGGAGGGGAGGGGCAGAGAGACAGGGAGAGAGAACCCCAAGCAGGCTCTGCGTTCACAGAGCAGGGCCCAACATGGGGCTTGATCCCACAAACCAGTGAGATCATGACCTGAGCTGAAATCAAGAGTCAGATGTTTAACCGACTGAGCCACCCAGACGCTCCTCTCAGACATATTCTTAACGACTGTTTCCAATGTGGGCCAAATGAATTCTATACTCTAAATGCCCAGGATCGTATCCATGGTTCAAGCCTTCTGTCTGGGCTTCTCTATCACCAAAAGACAGTATCACGCAATCTGGGGGAAGGTGGCACAAGGAAAACAACCTGAACTTGCTGAGAATGGGAATACATAAAGGCTAAGTAATCTGGCCCGATGTTGACACAACTGTTCTTTTCCCCAGATAACTGCTTTCTCCTCATTTATAGCATTTTAAAAAAAAATTTTAATTTTAGAGCAAGTGCATGTGAACAGGGGGCAGAGAGAGAGAATTTTTAAAAATTTTTTTGAAGTTTATTAAGAGAGCGAGCAGGGAGGAGCAGAGGGAGAGAGAAAGAATCTCAAGCAGGCTCTGAGGTGTCAGCAAAGAGCCTGACGTAGGGCTCAAACCCACAAACCGTGAGATGACCTGAGCTGAAATCAAGAGTTGAACGCTAACTGATTAAACTACCCAGGCGCCCCACTATGATCTTTTGATTAGAATCTCCTTTCCTCTGTCTAAAATGCATGTTTATAATATTTAATGTTATTTTATAATTAGTGCTAAGTCTGGCTCAATTAGAAATACTATTTTTTTACTTATACATATAGCCATACATATAATTTTATACAAATGTGTTTATTTACATTTCTAACTAAAAAAATTTTAAGAAATAATTAAAAATTTTTAAAGAATTAAAAATTATTTCTTAAAAATTTTTTAAATTTACATCCAAGTTAGTTGGCATATAGTGCAACAATAATTTCAGGAGCAGATTCCTTAATGCCCCTTACCCATTTAGTCCATTCCCCGTCCCACAACCCCTCCAGTAACCCTCTGTTCTCCATATTTATGAGTCTCTTATGTTTTGTCCCCCTCCCTGTTTTTATATTTTCTTTCCCTTCCCTTATGTTCATCTGTTTTGTATCTTAAAGTCCTCACATGGGTGAAGTCATATGATATTTGTCTTTCTCTAATTTTGCTTAGCATAATATCCTCTAGTTCCATCCTTGTAATTGCAAATGGCAAGATTTCATTCTTTTTGATTGCCAAGTAATACTCCATTCTATATATATGCCACATCTTCTTTATTCATCCATCGATGGACATCGGGCTCTTTCCATACTTTGGCTATTGTTGATAGTGCTGCTATAAACATTAGGGTGCATGTGTCCCTTTGAAACAGCATACCTGTATCCCTTGATTAAATACCTACTAGTGCAATTGCTGTAGTTCTATTTTTAGTTCTATTTTTAATTTTTTGAGGAACCTCCATACTGTTTTCCAGAGTGGCTGCACCAGTTTGCATTCCCACCAGCAGTGTGAAAGAGATCCTCTTTCTCCACATCCTCGCCAACATCTGTTGTTGCCTGAGTTATTAATGTTAGCCATTCTGACAGGTGTGAGGTTTTGATTTGTGTTTGATGTTTTGATCTCACTGTGGTTTTGATTTGTATTTCCCTGATGCTGACAGTGATTTGATCATTTTTTCATGTGTTGGTTGGCCATCTGGATATCTTCTTTGGAGAAGTACCTATTCATGTCTTTTGCCCATTTCTTCACTGGATTATTTGTTTTTGGGTGTTGAGTTTGGTAAGTTCTTTACAGATTTTGGATACTAACCCTTTATCTGATATGTCGTTTGCAAATACCTTCTCCCATTCCATCAGTTGCCTTTTGGTTTTGCTGATTGTTTCCTTCACTGTGCAGAAGTTTTTATTTTGATGAGGTCCCAATAGTTCATTTTTGCTTTTGTTTCCCTTGTCTCCGGAGATGTGTTGAGTAAGAAGTTGCTGTGGCCAAGGTCAAAGAGGTTTTTGCCTGCTTTCTCTTCGAGGATTTTGATGGCTTCCTGTCTTACATTTAGGTCTTTCATCCACTTTGAGTTTATTTTTGTGTATGGGGTAAGAAAGTGATCCAGGTTCATTTTTCTGCATGTTGCTGTCCAGTTTTCCCAGCATCACTTGCTGAAGAGACTATCTTTATTCCATTGGATATTCTTTCCTGCTTTGTCAAAGATTGGTTGGCCATGTGTTTGTGGGTCCATTTCTGGGTTCTCTATTATGTCCCATTGATCTGAGTGTCTGTTTTTGTGCCAAAACTAAAAAAATTTTAAACATGGCTTTCCTCTCTCCTAGAGGTTATACTTTCATACTCTTTTTGATCAATTCACGGAGTACAACAAGTTCTGCCTGGCTTCCCCTCTCTATGCTGTAGGCTGGAAAACTCTCTTGAAGTAATAAGCTGAGGTTCCCTTTCTTTATTTCCATCTTTCAGGCTCATTGTCCTCCACTGCCTGATGGTCAGTGTCTTGAAATCCATTTTTATATATCTACGTATCTCCAGGTTGGAGGATAAATCAGGTCTGTTACTCCACCTTGGGTGAAATCTAAAGTCCAGATTGTAGGGTCCCACCAAGTTTCAGTAGCCCTGACTGATGATGATCAGGGTCTGTCCTCTGGAGAAAAGTAATAAAAATACGAAACTCACTCAGTGTGGTTCCCTTCTGCCATTTATAGATGCCACTCCAGTTTCCGCTTTCCCAAGGAAAGCGCCTCAGCAGAAGCTGGCGTCATTTGCTCAGGTCATGATCTCCTGGTTCATGGTCGGACCTGCATCGAGCTCACTGCTGTGGCACAGAACTTCATCTGTGGCAGCGAGCCTGCTGGATCTTCTTCACCCGCCCACCCTTCTGTCCACTCCCGCTTGTGTGTGTGTGTGTGTGTGTGTGTGTGTGTGTTTTTTTTAAAGAGGGGCACCTGGGTGGCTCAGCTGGTTGAACGTCTGGCTTTGGCTCAGGTCATGATCTCCTGGTTCTTGAGTTCAAGACCCACATTGGGCTCCATGCTGACAGCTCAGAGCCTGGAGCCTGCTTTGGATTCTGTGTATCCTTCTCTCTCTGCCCCTCCCCCATTTGTGTTCTGTCTCTCTCTCTCTCAAAATTAAACAAATGTTAAAGAAAAAAAAAAGAAAAAGCTTTCGCAGAGTAGTCTTGGTATGGTAAAATGTACTCGGCCATTACCAAAAGGTCAATATTTGAGTCTTGCTTCCTTTTTTACCAAATAAACAGTGTCACCTATTTTCAGTTCCTCACCGAAATTTTAGTTCGGTTTTATCTTCGTGTGTACATTAGCATATTGTTGTGCCCAATAATTTCACTCTTGGGAGTACCAGTGGATCTCTTTTTTGTTACCTGTTATTTGTGCTGGTTCTTGTTCATGGTGTTGTTTCTTCATGTGTGTATTTTTTAAAGTAATTATTTTTTGAAAAATTATTTATAAAACAGTTTGAGGTCTAAGGTAATGTTATCTTCCTCTAGGGTAGAATTTTCTTTTTATGTAAGAGCTTTACTGAGATATAATTCACGTACCATACCACTTACTCATTTAAACTATACAATTCAATGGTTTTTTAGTATATTTACAGTTATGCAACCATTAAGACAATCCATTGTAGAACATTTCTCTAGAGTGAATTTGTTTGTTTCTGCTAGGCCCCTGAGAAGCTTAGTAATCTGGAATCAATTTAGTCTAGTTTTGGGATTTAACATGTTCTGGGACACACATAGGACTTACACGTGAGCTTCAGTCCATGTGAAAAATGGTTACTTTCGGTTCATTCAGTCTCCTCTGGTACTGCTCCTCATGGTGCCAACCTGAAAAGCAGGGTAGTTTTTATGGGTGCCAACTTTTCTAAGTCTTGGACTCTGTTTTATTCCCCTGGCTTCAAAACGAGTCCAATTCACAGCTTTCCAGCATCCTCAGCGCCTGTTTGAAAAGGGCAATGTACCCCAGGCAAAAGCAACTCCAAATGCTGCATCTCTTCCCTGGATTTCTGTCTTCTGGATGTTGATCTGATATTACCTCATCATCTTGTTAGCTCTCTGGTAAACATTTTAGGAAGATGGTTTTTGTATTTTGGTCTGACTTCTCAGTTGTCTTTAGCAGGAAGGCTCTCGTGAATTACCTGTCTGCCATTACCAGAAGAGGAAGTCTTTTCATCAGTTTAGCTCTGCTCCTAAAAATAACATAGATGAGCTTTGCTTTTTATATTGACAGTCTTTGGTTTTCAAAAGAGAAATTTAGGGGCACCTGGGTGGCTCAGTTGGTTAAGTATCTGACTTTGGCTCAGGTCATGATCTCACAGTTTGTGAGTTTAAGCCCTGTGTCGGGCTCTGTGCTGACATCTCAGAGCCTGGAGCCTGTTTCAGATTCTGTGTCTCCCAATCTCTCTCTGCCCCCCTCCTCACCCCCACTTGTGCTCTCTCTTGCTCAAAAATAAATAAATGAACATTAAAAAAAAAAAAGGGAAACTTAATCCCAGAACATTTAATATCCTGATTGATCTGTCTTCTTTTATTTCTCTTAATGTTTTGTTTCCTAATTTATGTTTCTTCTTTTCCCTCATTTTTACTCATGTGATTCAATATTATTAGGTTGGTGATATTACTACACATTTTTATTTCTATATTAGTTACTTTCCTTATTTTCACTTGTTTGTATTATTAGATTCATAGGACTCTACCCTTATTTGAAAATAGACCATTATCTCCCCTAATCAAGTGTGGTATGCAGAATTCCAAGATGGCTCCCAGGATTCCTGCTCCTTAATATACAGACCTTTCATGACCTCCTGCCCTT